CTACAATCAATGGCACAAAATATCCTCTGCTGAGATTACAAAAAAGAGACAAAATGTAGAAAAGCAAGATTTACTGACTTCAGCAAAAACATGCGAAGGACAGTGAAACAAGGACCATTGCTCCCCGGTTGCAAGTCTTATGGGTCCCTTAGAGGTTAGGGGACACGTGTCAGTGGGGGAAGGAGAGGGCGAAGGGAATGGCACAGGTGTGCTCCCTGGAGGGAGAGCACCCTGGGACCTTCCTTTTCAGGCATTTTGTCTTATTTTTTGATGAATCCTCACCCAAGGATATTTTTTTTCCATTGATTTTTAGAGAGAGTGGAAGGGAGGGAGAAGGGAGAGAAACATCGATGTGAGAGAGACACATTGACTGGTTGCCTCCCCTACACACCTGGCCAGGGTGGGGGATCGGACCTGCAACCAAGGTTTGTGCCCTTGACCAGGAATCAAACCCATGACCCTTTAGTCAGTGGAACTCCGCTCTAACCACTTAGCAACTGGCCAGGGCCCTTTTCAGGCATTTTGTTTTATAATATATGTGTATTTTTAAATATATTTTTATTGATTTCAGAGAGGAAGGAAGAGGGAGAAACATCAGTGATGAGAGAGAATCATTGATCGGCTGCCTCCTGCACACCCCATATTGGGGATTGAGCCTACAGCCCTGGCATGTGCCCTCACTAGGAATTGAACCATGACCTCCTGGTTCATAGATTGAGGCTCAACCGTTGAGCCATATCAGCTGGGCTTTTCAGGCATTTCAAAGGCTGGGTGTTTAGGGCAGGTCTTATGGGGGATTAATAGAATGTTCATTAGCTGTATGATCTACCAAAATGAGATTTATTCTTTTGTCTGTGTGGTTGGCAATTGGCACTTAATTAGATTTATTATCTGTCTCCCTATACTATTAAGCATCCTTGGTTTAGGGAAAATAGGATTTACTAGGTGGCTGCAAACTACTGTTTAACTATCTTTCCCTATTCCTTAAGTCCTGGAGTTTTCCTAGCTTCTTACTAATCTGTAACAATTACCTATTTCAATTTGCTACAATCTGAAAATTACTTTCATGTTGCCTAACACTTAGTAGGCATGCAATCAATATTTATACATACTGAATAGTGGTATTTTAATCATTTTTTTAATATAATTTTTTTATTGATTTGAGAGAGAGGAAGGGAGAGGCAGAGAGGGATAGAAACATCAATGATGAGAGAGAATCAGTGACTGGCCGTCTCCTGCATACCCCCATGGGGGATTGAGCCTGAAACCAGGGCATGTGTCCTGACAGAGAATGGAACTGTAACCTCCTGGTTCATGGTTCCATGCTCATCCACTGAGCCACACCAGCCGGACTAATCATGGTTTTTTTGTTTTGTTTTGTTTGTTGTATTTTTTTTTAACAGAGAGGAAGGGAGAGGGATAGAAAGCCAGAAACATCGATGAGAGAGAAACATCGATCAGCTGCCTCCTGCACACTCCCCACTGGGGATGCGCCCGCAACCAAGGTACATGCCTTTGACTGGAATCGAACCCAGGACCCTTGAGTCCGAAGGCTGACGCTCCATCCATTGAGCCAAACCGGTCAAGGCTAATCATGGTTTTTAACACCTTGCCCTAGGAATGTCTGGAGAAAGAGGGAAGTCACACCTAAGGCAGATTGGTTCTAACAGTAGGCATGTGTAGTAATGCCAAGCACTAAAAACTGAAGGAGGAAAAAGGTCTCCTTCCAAAAACCAGTAGACTAGAAGAGATGGACTCAAATAGCTATAGTGCATTAGACTAGATGGTCTATGGGAACCACAGAATGGGTATCCTGCCAAGACTAGGTCCATACAATGCACTGCTCACGTGGTAATAAATGCCTCCTGTGCCCCTTAACATTTCCTTAAAGCACCTTCCTTACCGTTGTGGCCACCCACAATCAGCCAAAATTCTAGTTGGACCTAGGCTTCCTAGATGCTTGAGGCCCAAGGGGGAAATTCTAGGCATACCAAATCCACCTTGGTCATCTTTTTACTACCCTTCCTGTCGTAACAACACCTTAAGTTGATGACAAAGACCTGTTGTTATACTCTGCTAGCCCCCACGGTGCAGAGTGGATACTTAGTCACCTCTCTTTCTCTCCAGCATTTGGCCAAGAGAAGAATGTCTCCTTGAACAACTTTAGTGCTGATCAGGTAACCAGAGCCCTAGAGAATGTGCTAAGTGGCAAAGCCTGAAGCCTTCGCTGAGGACTGAGCAACAACTCCACAGCCTGGGCTCTGCTGGACTGAGTACAATATGGAAAGATGTGTTCTGTTGTTTATAAAGCTTGTGCTGTAAGATGCTGTCTCAGGATGTTCTTTACCTCATTCCACCCTCTACCCCTTATTATGCAACCACTGAGGCAAAGCAGTTTAATATAAAAATAAAATTTTATTCTGCCCCATCAAAAGCTACCAGCTGCTAAAGCAAAACAAAACCAAAGAAAAAAGAGAGATTCCAGGGCCCCAGAGTAAGTAGCCCACACCCACTTCCCTCTGATCCTGGCTGGACAGTGCTGAGTGAAAGGGAGGGCTGGAGTCTAAAGGCCTTGGTTTAGGCTTAGATGTGGAATCAGAGAACATGAGGCCTCATTATGGTCACTAACCCTCCCGCCCCCATAAGGGGCTCCATGGGGCACAGAAGCTGAGGGGTGGGGGGGTGGAGTAAAGTGACACTGAGAAGCCAGGTCATCTATGAAGAGCTGTCTGCTGGAGAGCATGCACTCGGTCCTGGAGCTGTGCTTCCTCCTCGTGCCTTTTAAGGGCCTGCAGCCCTGATTGCTGCAGGAAGGCCTGGGCAGCCTAAAGGCAGGGAAGAAAAGGATTCGACACCTGGGTCTCTGTGCCCTGACACTCAATTCCCAGAGCCTTATGGGTTAGCCCGCCTCTTGGGAAAGGGTACATTCCCAGCAAGAGGCTGTAGGCTCTGACCTGGACACAGGCTAGCCAGGTCCAGAGAAGTGGCTATAGTTAGAACTGGACGGAAAGGGGCCATAGTGAGGCTAGAACAGCCGTGGGAAAACTATGGCCCGCGGGCCGGATCCAGCCCGTTTGAAATGAATAAAACTAAAAAAAAAAAAAAAAAAAGACCGTACCCTTTTATGTAATGATGTTTACTTTGAATTTATATTAGTTCACACAAACACTCCATCCATGCTTTTGTTCCGGCCCTCCGGTCCAGTTTAAGAACCCATTGTGGCCCTTGAGTCAAAAAGTTTGCCCACCCCTGGTCTAGAAGCTTCAGAACAAGGATTGAGAACAGGACGAGAAACCAACCTCTGGCCGGTAGAGGAACAGCAGTTGCAGCAACTCCAAACTCTGGCCTACTACTTCAGTGTCAGAGAAGGTCAATGTGTCCAGCAAGGAGGGGAGCAGGGGCCCTGGCCACAGATGCTGGCAATAAGCAGGACCCTTCTCTGCAACGTTGCACAGAACTGTGAGCACCTGTAGACAGATATGTATATACACAGTCCCCACAAAGGATGAAAGCCAATGACAGCAAAAAATATAGAGTGCTGACCGCATGCCCAAGACACTGCCAAGCAATTTCATAAGCAAGTTCTGTAATTACAACTGCCCTCATGTATTATTATTCCTAATTATAAATCGGGAAACTGAAGTTTAAGATGGTTAGTTGATTTTCCCAAGAATAGTATCTAGTAAACCAATTTAGGGACTCACACCCAGATGGGTCTAGCCCTGAGGCCATCCATACTATACCACCTGCCAGCTCTCAGGTAAGGGCACTTCTGAGCTCCTACTGTTTACACTTCAGCCACTAGACCTTGGGCTCAGATGACTCCAAATACCTACCAATACGCTCACCACATTGGATACTGGCAACAACTGCAAGAGAGGCTTGATCAGATCCAGGGAGAGCAAGGAGGTACAGATGCTAGGGCTGTTCGCTGAAAGGAAAAATGTCAGGGTGAAGTCCCCCTAACTGCAGCCTGAAAATGCCCCCACTCAATCCTACCCACCTCAGTCCAAGCCACAAGGAAGTTTTCCCAGTATCTAAAGGTCCAGCCTAGGCAGATTATGGCTCTTACCAGTGAGGTTATTAAGAAGCCAAAGGCCCTCAGGAAGCAGGCTGGGGTGTTTCTGGAGGAGGAACTGCAGAAGGATAAATACGGATACCACGACACGCTCATCTCTGAGCTGCACCTGCCCTCCCCCAGCTTCCACCGCTTCCTCTGATAGCAAGTTGCTTAGACACCGAAGCACAGGGCACACCAGCTGCAAAGACAAGTTGGGGGTCAGGTGTAAGGAGGAGGGGACTCCCTGCACACTGGAAGAGGAACAGTCGGAAGAAAGGTTGCGCAGATCTTGACCTGTCCTCTTCACCTACCAACTCCAGTCCTGCATCTTCAGAACTCTGGACAGTCCCAGCCAAGTACAACAGTAGCAGCCCCAGAGTGGAGACAGCCCCATGGGTGATGAGCAGGGCATTATTGACCTGGCTGAGCAATAAGAAGCAAGTAGTTATTAAGCTATTCCCACCTTTAAGCTTGCAAACAGCCTAGGTCTGTGGGTTTCCTGGATTCCAAGAAGAGAAGACCATGAAAGGAAGACCTTTCATGGAATTATTGAGAGGGGGCATTTTCACCACAATAATTCCAGAAACCGAAGTTCAAACACCTGAGTGTCATGAAGGGAACCCGTGAAAGGTCTGTGGCACTTTCCCAACTGGCCTGTGTTACCTGCAGATGATGTAGTGAAGGCACCAGGCAAACTCCACAGCGGCCCCAGAGTTCAGCTTTGGTCCAGGTTGCAATAGTCGCAGCATACGCTCCGGAATAGGGGAGGCCAGGACGGAACTGCGGGCAGAAGCAGAGCTCTGAGTAGAAACCACAGAAGGCAAGATGCCTGTCGCTCTTCCCAAACCCTAATAGCAGGTGGGAAAGTGTCCAAACCCAAAGCCCTTCCCAGCCAGCCACATGGGGTTAAATGTACAACAGCGTTGGGACCAGACTTGGTCAGGTCTTGGGGGCTACACTACCGAATGGGTCACTCCTGACTGCACATCTGGAGACAGTTCTACTTACGGGATGATCTTCTTTGGCGCTTCCTTAGCCTGCAGCAGCTGGGACAAGGCATATCCAAGGGCTTCCAGCACAGCCAGATGGGGGGACTAGAAGGAGACAGGGTAGGGATCTGGCTCTGGAAGCTAGGCCGGAAGATTTCCAACCCCTTAGCATATGGCAGTGGCTGGAACTGCCTAACCAGAGCAGCTGGGGCTTGTGCAAAGAAGTACGGGGAGGGCTGTTCAGGAGAGTCAGGGTGGACACTCACCTGGATGCAGGAAGCCAAGGCTGGAACAATGCCCTGTGGCAGGAGCTGCCTTCTCCCAGCTTCACTCTCCACAATCAGGTTACCCAGTGTATACAGACAGAGCTCCTGAGAGCAGAACAAAAGCACTGGGCTTGGCCCATGTTAAGCCAGGGTGGGGGTGGGGATGGGGAAGATGGAGCAGCCCTGTTCTCCAGGCTCTGGGCACAGGAGGATAGAAGATGATTGGTATGTACATGGCTGTGGACATTAGGGAAAACAGATTTTCTTCTCCCCACCTGCCAGCTCAAACTGGACCCAAAGACGCAATTTTTAAACTCAAGCCAAAAACAAGGTAGAAGTGACAGGGCTTACTATAAGGTCTGCGCTGTGACCGGCGAGGTAGGTGAGAAGGTAGGACGTGGCTGGCAGGCAGGCCTCAGCCACCTCAGACTGCTCGGAATGAGAGAGCTCGTGAAGGCACCGAGCCGCCTCAAGCTGCAGCAGGGCCTGGTTGCTGGTCAGGAGCCCGACCAGGGTCCGCATGCTGCCCTCCAGCCTACATGAGTGAGTACCAGAGCACTGCTCAGCCTGTGGCCCCTCCCCTCCAACGCCTATCCATCCCTTAGAACCCCAGCCACCCACTGACCTGATGAAGGTCTGCTGTGTCTCTGGGTGCTGCAAGCCTCGGCGAAGGCTGACCAGAGCTCCTTCTCTCTCCTTTTCCTCTGTCCCCCGCTGGGCTAACCTCAGGAACTGCTGGATCTAGAGCCAGGGGCAGGGAGAGATGGCAACACACAGTTGCCAGAAAGCAAATCAAGACCTGCTCTGCCTATTTCACCTGTGAGCCTTCCAATATTGCACCATCCCTAGAACTTGTCATTCACACTAATATGGCTAATAAGTGCCAACAGCGCAGTAGAGTGGAAAGAAGAGGGAATCAGCCCGGCCACTTAATCTACAAAGGACCAAACATCAGTTTCTCACCTGAAAAAAATATGAGTAACTTCTATCCTATTTTCTTCAAGGATAATATTTAAACCTCTCAGCCTGGCATAACCTACACCTCATTCTCCCCATGCAGCCTGTACCCTAACACCTAGCATAACATGACTTTTTAGTGCTGCCAAGATTTTGCACAATCAACCCAGCCAGTGTGGCTTAGTGATTGAGCACTGACCTATGAACCAGGAGGTCACGGTTCAATTCCTGGTCAGGGCACATGCCTGAGTTGTGAGCTCCATCCCCAATTGTGTGAGTGCAGAAGGCAGCCAATCAATGATTCTCTCTCATCATTGATTTTTTTTCTGTCTCTCCCTCTCCCTTCTTCTCTAAAATCAATAAAAATATATTTACTAGTAAAAAGAAAAGATTTTGCACAATCTATTTCTTCTGCCTGGCATACCCTCCCTGGGTCTTCCACTCGCTTCAGATTTCTGCTCCTGTCACTGCCTTTGGGGAATTAGCCTTTTCTCGATTCCTGTGGCAGACTTAGGGGTTTCTGTTGTGCCTCATGTCTCTTTCATGGGCTGTGAACACTTCAAAGAAGGGGACTCTCTTTTCCTCTTGTGTACCTCAGGCCCCAGCACAGTTCTTGGCATAAAGTAAGTACACAATGAATAAATGGTATAACCCAGGTGTAAGTGCTTTGTGAACTATATTTATAAACATAGATAATACAACCCTGCCAGCATGACTCAGTGGTTGAGAGTTGACCTATGAACCTGGAAGTCACGTTCAATTCCCGGTAGGGGCAAATGCCTAGGTTGTGAGCCCATTGATGATTCTCTCTCATTGATGTTTTCACCTCTCCCTCTCTCTCCCTCTCCCTTCCTCTCTGGAACCAATAAAAATATATTTAAAATCAAACAAACAAAATGATTATACAAACAGGGGAGGCCCAATGCTTGTTGAATGAATAAATGAACTAAAACCAATTCTTTCATTCACTTAATAAATACTGAGCATCTACTATATGCCAAATATTGTGCAGGCATCTGAGTTTTCAATGATGACAAAGATAGAGTCTAGGTTCCTGTGGACTTAAAAATTAGTTGGAGAAATGATAAACAAATTAGGATGATTAATATTCTGTAAACAGGTTGTAAGACAAAATACCAAAAGGGACCCACTTGAGATGCAGCAAAGGCAAAGGCCTTGAGACATGAAAGAGCCTGGTATATTGTTCCAAGAACTGAAAAGGGGACTTTGGCTGAGATGAGTAAGTTGATAAGGTTGGGGTTGGTAGAGGTTAGACCAGGCTGAACTTTATAGGTCACAGAAAGGAGTTTGGTCTCTATTTTTAAAAGAGGCATCTGACTGATGTATGCAGAATGAACTTGAGGGCGGCATAGATGCAGATGACCGGTTAGGAGGCTGCAGTAAGTATCCACTGGAGGGTGGTGGAGAGCTGCGATGGGGAGGCATGTAAAACCTTCAGAGTTCTTGCCCTAACCGGTTTGGCTCAGTGGATAGAGCGTCTGGCCAAGGACTGAAGGGTTCCCGGTTCCATTCCGATCAAGAGAACGTACTTGGCCTTGGACGATCCCTGGCCCTGGACAGGACGCATACACGAGGCAACCAAGGATGTGTCTCTCTAGCGATGTGACACATCGATGTTTCTCTCTATCTTTCCCCCTCCCTTCCACTCTCTCTCTCTCAAAAAAAAAAAAAAAAAAAATCAATGGAAAAATATCCTCGGGTGAGGATTTTTTTTAAAAACCACAAAACTTCAGAGCTCTTTACGAGGTAAAAAACGGCTAGGCCTTGAAGGACCTGATGTGGGGAGGAGCCGGGATGGGGTGGAAGGTTGACACCCCAGTTTCTGGCTTGGCGCACTGGAGGTTGAAGGGACCGCATTCAGGTTTGGGGACGACCTCGAGTCCTCGAGGAGGGAATTTGGCGCCAGCCTGTATGGACCTCACCGCGCACCCTGACCCCCTCACCTCGGCTTCCCCGAGGACCGAGGCCACACATCCCCCTTCGGCTTCCTCTGGGGTGTCGTCTCTCAGCAGCCTCTTGCTGACCAGCTGCTGCTCCCTCCGCGCCCGCCGCAGTGCTGGGGACAAAAGAGTCGGCTGGGGGCAACGGAGGGGCACCCAGGACCGAGAACCCCATCTCCCACCCAGGGGCCTCCCACCGCCATACCCCACCCTCCCGTGTTCCCTCCCCGCCCGCACCTGCCTCCCGCTCCCGCCGGCGGCGCCGCAGCTCCTCCACCCCGCATCCCACCGGCCTGAGAAGGCCTTGCCGTGGGCTCAACATGGTGGAGCTGGAGGAAACTCCCACTGGACGCACGGCTGGGAACGCAGTCCCGGAGTATAGAAGATGGCAGGGACCGCGCAGCCGCGGCGCTGGCGGAAGGAGAGGGGAAGCAGGAGGAGCTCCGCGAGAGGGAATGGGCGGGGCCGAGGGAGGAGCGGCCAGGGGCGGGGGCGGGGCGAAGGGATGGGTGGAGTCAGGGGAGGAGCGGCCGGGGCGGGGGCGGGGGCGGGGCGAATGGATGGGCGGGGTCAGGGGTGGGAGCGGGGCGGGGAGCGGGGCTGGCGGAGGGATGGGCGGGGCGGGGCGAAGGCAGAGGGTGGGATCTGGGCTGAGAGCCAAGGGAAAGCGCCACAGCCTTGTTTTCTCCCCAATTCTAGGAAAGAAAGTACGGTAAGTACTGTACTCATGAAAGAAAGAAAGGCCCTACCAGCGGTTCTCAACCTGTGTGTCGCGACCCCTTTGGTGGTCGAACGACCCTTTCACAGGGGTCGCCTAAGACCATCCTGCATATCAGATATTTACATTACGATTCATAACAGTAACAACATTACAGTTATGAAGTAGCAACGAAAATAATTTTATGGTTGGGTCACAACATGAGGAACTGTATTTAAAGGGCCAGAAGGTTGAGAAACACTGCTAGTTGGTTTGACTCAGTGGACAGAGCATCACCGGCGGACTGAAGAGTCCCAGGTTCAATTACCGCCAAGGGCACATGTCCAGTTTGCCGGCCGATCCCCAGTAGGGGGCGTGCAGGAGCCAATCAATTTGATTCTCTCTCATCATTGAGGTTTCTATCTCTCCCTCTCCCTTCCTCTCTGAAATCAATAAAAATATACTTTAAAAAATAACATAAGAATGATAAATTTGTTTTAAAAAAAATAGAGAGAGAAAGTAACTCAATCCCGACCTCTGCCGCCACAGGCCAGTAGCATCACCTTCCACTCAGCAAACTTCCCCATTCCTAACACACCCAGGAACATTCAAAACTAGCCCGAGCTCTAGGAAGATATGGGATACCATTTCACCAATAATTCATCGTGTTATTGGTGAGATATTATCTGTACTTCATTCACCCTACCCCAACCAGCACCCTTCACGTAGGCGTTGCCATGTTGAATGTTCGCGATAACAATTTTCCCCATTTTACGCTGAGGAAAATTAGACAAATATTATTCTTTCACTGTTCTGCATAAAAGTGAGTTGCATTATTTTTAGAATAAAGTAATTCACCAAATTTTGACCGCCACTGATTTACTAGGTTCTGGGGAAACACTGGTGAGTTTTAAATTTTTTTTTAAATTGAATTTAGAGAGAGAGAGAGAGAGAGAGAGAGAGAGCAAAGGAGAGGGAGAAATAGAAACATCATGAGATACAGCATCAATCACTCCATTGGGGTGGGCCAGCCGGACCCTACCCATGCACAAATTCATGCACTGGACCTCTAGTAAATAAATAAATCCTCACCTGAGGATATGTTTTGATTGATCTTGAGAATGAAAGAAAGAAAGTGAAACATCAATCAGGTTGCCTCTCCCACACGCCTCAACCAGGAATCAAACCCACAACCTAGGCATATGGCCTGACTGGGAATAAAGCCCATAACCTTTTGGTGTATGGGAAGACGCCCCAACTAACTGAGACACCCTGCCAGGGCAAAATATTTACTACTTTTGCTTGGTTACAAACCACAGTCCTAAGTGTTCATGTGTATGCAGGGTGCAATGGTCTGCTGGTTGGATAGGCATCTGGAGGTTCATTCAAAACTCCAGCACACATTCAGGAATGTGAACAGTCTTTTGTTATTTGGTCCATAGCTATTAATTGGTTAACTATTCCTGTCTCTTTCTCTCATTCTCTGGTCACTGTAGTTTTTATTTAGAACATTTCAGAATTTTTCTCTTGTCAAAGGATAAACCCTATCCCACCCACTGGGATACTTTTTCTTTTTCTTGTCAAATCAAGTGAATTACTAATTAATCCTCACTTAACATTCATCTAGCCCTTCCTTCCTAGGACACAGGAATTGTGTTGGGGGAAGGCAAGGGAGAACTAGGTGAAAGTGGGAAAATCTATTATAATAAAAACATAATATGCTAATTAGACCGGACAGCCAACCGACCTTCCGGACATCATTCTGGAGGTCCTTCTGGAGGAAGCCGCAGCAGTGGGGGCCTGGGCAGAGGCGGTTAGGGGAGGTCAGGCAGGCAGGCGAGTGGTTAGTCAATAGTTGAAGTTTGCAATCTCTTCCACAAAATATCCAGTTAATATCCAACGATAATCAGGGGATTGGACTTGGACGACAGGAGGTTAATAGTAACCACCAAGACTAGGGAAAAGTCAAGTAAACTACCCAGATTGAGTCGTGGGATATAGGCAGGGGAGGTAAAAGTCCTGGTGGGCTGGGCCAGCCGGGCTCAGTGGTTGAGCATCCACCTATGAACCGGGATGTTAAGGCTGGATTCCCTCTCAGTGCACACCCCCGGGTTTCAGTTTTGATCCCCAGACATGCAGGAGGCAGTTGATCAATGATCCTCTCTCATCATTGATGTTTCAATCTTTCTCTTCCTCTCTGAAATAATATATATATATTATATAATATATATATTATATATATATTATATATATATATATAATTTTTTTAAAGGGTCCTGGTGGGAAGCACCGGGGATCTTCCTTTCTCCAAACCCACCAGACAAGCCTGGGGCTCCTGAGTCATCAAGACTGCCTGGGGCAGAGCACACTAGAAGTCCTGCGGGGATCCTTCCTGTTAGGTCCCTCCTCCCAGCAACATCATTCGTTGCAAAATTTCCGGAAGGTTATAAAGAATGGAGTGGCGAAGGGAGGTGGGGAGTGACCAAGGTTCACAGAGGAGGGAACACAGTGACGTTCCTGGGGCTACAAAAACCCTCAGAGGCTGCCAAAGGGTGTGTGGAGCCTGGAAGCAGTGCTGCCATACAGGAAAGAAGCCAGAGCCCTTCCCAGAGCCCTGAGGACCTATTGACCATGGTGAGTGTACGGTCTTGGGGCCGAACAGGGGTTGGCTACTCGAGGAATCCCAGGGACCGCTGGGGCCGCCCTGACCTCCGCTCTCTTCCCAGGTGCGGGCACCCTGTCGGCTGCTGCTGCTGCTGCTGCCGCCACTGCTTCACGTCTGGGCGACCACGTCAGAGCCCTGCGAGGTGGACGACGACGATGTCCGTTGCGTCTGCAACTTCACGGATCCGGAGCCCGACTGGTCCAGCGCCTTCCAGTGTGTGGGTGCCACGGAGGTGGAGATCCGTGGCGGTGGCCGCAGCCTGAAAGAGTTTGTAAAGTTCGCCGGCATCAACCCGAAGCAGTATGCTGACGTGATCAGGGCTCTGCGCGTGCGGCGACTCACGGTGGGTGATGCACAGGTTCCTGCTCTGCTTCTGTTCTCCCTCCTCCGTGGGCTTGGGTCCTCCCGCCTCAACCAACTCACCCTCGAGGACTTGGAAGTGATCGGCCCGACGCCGCCACCGCCTCTGGAAGTCACTGGACCTGCGCTTTCCAGCCTCAGTATCCGTAACGTGTCGTGGGCAACAGGGGGCGCCTGGCTGGCGGAACTGCAGCTGTGGCTCAAGCCCGGCCTCAAAGTACTGAACGTTGCGCAAGCACCCTCGCTCGCCTTTTCCTGCGCAGACCTCGGCACCTTCCCCTCCCTCACCACCCTAGACCTGTCTGACAATCCTGGCCTGGACGAGCGCGGGCTGACTGCGGCTCTCTGTCCGAACAAGTTCCCGGCCCTCCAGGAGCTAGCGCTCCGCAGCACTGGGATGCAGACTCTCGGCGGCGTGTGCGCGGCGCTGGCGGCGGCAGGAGTGCAACCGCACCACTTGGACCTCAGCCACAACCCGCTGCGCGCCACCGCACCGGCCGCTCCCAGGTGCATCTGGCCGAGCGCCCTGAGCTCTCTCAACCTGTCATTCGCTGGCCTGGAGCAGGTGCCTATAGGTCTGCCGGCCGAGCTCAGCGTGCTTGATCTCAGATGCAACAGGCTGAACAGAGAGCCGCGGCCAGATGAGCTGCCCAAGGTGAGGGACCTGATACTGGCCGGGAATCCCTATCTGGACCCGAAGAACTCTGGTGTGGTCACAGCCTGTGAGCGTTTGACTCAGGCCCTGGGGGTGTCAGGCAGTATCCTGCTGCTTCAGGGGGCCAGGTCCTTGGCCTAAGGCTCAGGAGAGAAGAATGGATTGGCTCAGATTGCCCTGGTTCCCGAGCAGCCTCCTCGGGACCTCTCAACCAACCACTTCTCTGCCCCCAGTTCATTAAAATCTTAAACAACGGTCCTTGTCATTCACTGAACAGGTGTTTGCTGGGTGTCCGCTATGTGTTGGGCACAGTGCTGGATGGGGAATCCATCATACTGAGACTTTCTTTACCCCAACTCCCCAGAAACCACACCTAGCTAAGTAAAGGACTTCAGGGGCAGAGAGGCAGGGAAACGTTGTCTATCTAGGGCTGTGTAGAAGAAATAAGGAGTTTCTGTGCAATCCAGGCTTTCTGAGCAGAATACTGGTGCCTGTGTTAAAGGGTGTTGGAATAGTAAATAAACTAGGAAGATACATTCCTCCCTGTGCATTTCCCATGAGCCAGCTTGTCCCTTACAAAAACCCAGGGCCATTTGCTTTCTCTTTCTCACTCACTCTCTCTGTGTGTCTCTGAGAGAGGAGGGCAGCTATGCCAGCTTTTCTACATAAACTCTGAGTTTTATATTTTAAGATTTTTCTCTTGCCGAAACCGGTTTGGCTCAGTGGATAGAGCATCGGCCTGCAGACTGAAAGGTCCCAGGTTTGATTCCGGTCAAGGGCATGTACCTGGGTTGCGGGCACATTCCCAGTAGGAGATGTGCAGGAGGCAGCTGATCGATGTTTCTCTCTCATCGATGTTTCTAACTCTCTATCCCTCTCCCTTCCTCTCTGTAAAAAATCAATAAAATATTTTTGGCACTAGGTTAAAAAAAAAGATTTCTCTCCTGCTGTGGCTTCCACTGTGACATCTGTTGCGGAATTTGGGCAAGGGGAAGTGAGCAAGATGCTGTCATTAAACAGTCCATCTCAGCCAAAACCGGTTTGGCTCAGTGGATAGAGCGTCAGCCTGCAGACTGAAAGGTCCCAGGTTCGATTCC